CACACACACACACACACACACACACACACACACACACACACACACACACACACACACACACTTATACCAGGTAAAGACAGGAGAAGGGCACATTCACAATACTTTGATCCAACATAGCTCTGAGAGGATGCTGAGCGCGGTTACCCAGAGCCAAGGCAGGAAGCTAAGGATCCTTGTGAAGGGCGAGAGGGCCTTCCCCAGCCCGGCACAAGGCACAGTGCCAGGGCAAGCAAAGCCAGGCAGGAGCACTGGGAGGCACCCTGGGTTTACGGAGAGGACTGGTGGGGCCCCTGAGGCTGCCTCTATACTTTGAGGGAAGGAGTTTCAACTATAGTGTCCTATTAATTAAAAAACAAAATCCTAGCTTATTTGGAAATATTGTTGACACCAAAATAATGTAGAAAGAACCAGCAAATACAGTCGGTCCGTTTCAGAACTGCCCTCTCAGATTGTACCCAAACCAAAGACTGATTGGATCAAGGGAGAAAGGAGAAGGGCGTGCACAGGGTTAACCTGCCCCTAACCCTTTCCCTCCCACCCGAGACCCAGGAGACGGCTGGAAATTTCAGGTTAACCCCGAACCTCACACCCGGGGAGAAACACGGCAGAAACCCAGCGGACACTCCCCCCTCTCCAGGAACGTGGGCACTTTCGGGATGGTCCAAGGGCTCCAGCGTCCTGGCGCATCCCGGGAGGAGAACGGACCCTCCCTCTCTGTGCTGCGGGAAAGACCCTACTTTCCAGGACCAGCTGCGAGCTTACAGACCCAGGACTCCCGAGTCCACCCCGGCTCTCGGCTTGCTGTCTTGAGATTTCCCGAGCCTCCGGATGAAGCCCAGCCGGGAGAGTCCCCCTTTTGTTCGCGGGAGAGCGCGCCGCCGCGCAGCGCTGCGCATCCCCCAGCTCTGAGAACCCCGCTGCGGGGGCGCTTCCCTCGGTCCGCGCCCTACGATCCCCGCGCTCCCGCGACCCCGGCACCAGCGCACGGGTCCCCAGCTGTATCCCCGCCGCGCCCGAGTACTCACTTCTCCCCAGTCCCTCCGCTTTCCACGCCGTCTCCTCCACTGCCCCATAGCGCCTTAGAGGCTTCTCAGCTTCCAGATGGGTAGACAAAGATTGCTTTAACTCCATTGCAGATCCCTGCGAGCAGGTCGATGGGTCTCCCTTTACTCCATCCCCGCCGCGGGTTGCCGGGAGGGAGGCGGCTACAGCCAGCAGCGTTTTAAGGGGCCGGGCGCTCGTGACGCTGCTCCATCTCTTCCGCCGCTAGAGCCGGGGAGCGCTGACTGGTACCCAGCAGGCGGAGGGATGCAGGACGCATGCGCAATGGAGGCTTGAGGGGAAGGCTTGGGGGCTGGGAAAAGAGAAAAGGGGGCAGGTGATAACTCTAAGAACAAAATAAAAAACAACTAAAACAGAACCAACCCAAAGGAAATAAAAACAAGGCCCCTGACCACACTGGAGCCGGTGGAGATCCTTTGCATGGAGCTGGCACTGAGGGTAGCTTGTGATCTGTCTGCACAGGATGCTAGGTTTTGAGTGGGATCTGCGAGCACATCTCTATCTGTGGGCAATAGATCCATCTTTGTGGGGAGTGTGCAGAATCGTGAGTGTGGACCTGGATCTGGGGGTTCTGTGCTTGGCTGACTACGTTTTTTGTGAGAAGTTCTGTTCTGTGCGTATTAATTTGAATATGAAATGGGACAGTCTTGTCTGGGGTTGCCTGTGTCAACTACGTGTGTGTTTGTACAAACTTGAGAAAGACAAGAAAATAGTCGGACACAAGTATAACAAAGCTGTTAGGAACATGGGTCTATACTTTCCAGAAACCTAGGGGTTTATCTTAGTAACAAAGCATGGCAGCGTCACTAACAAAAATCAGCAGCTAGATTGATACAAATAGTAACATTTATTGAATGAAAGCTAAGTACTAAACACTTGCCAATAACTGTGAAACAGATACTATTTTGTTGGCCATGTTTTACAGAGGATGAAGCACAAAAAGATCAAGTTATTTACCTGAAGTCCCATACTTTTTGGGAGTGGAGAAGGCGAGGGGAGGACATAAGATACTCATGGTTTGCCTGTTGTGTTTAAGATATCATCTGGGCAATTTTTGGTATCCACATAGCTTGTGGAAGTGTAGAATGGCTAGCTCCCTAAGAAAATGATTTAACAACTGGTAGCAAGGGTCTTTTAAAAGTTACTATCAATATTAAACTTCCAATAGCCAATGAGAGAAAAAGGAAATAATAGTGAAAATCATAAAATATTTAGACCTGGATAACCATGAGAGAATCACATATCAAAACTTGTAAGTTTTGATACAAGTAAATGTATAGCTTTAAATGCATGCATTTAAAAATGTAAGACTAAAAATAAATGGGTTAAGATGAATGGATAAGCAAAACTGTGGTATATCCATACAGTGAAATGCTACTCAGCCTTGAAAAAGAAGGGAATCTGCCACATGCTACAACATGGGTGAGCCTGGAGTGATATGCTAAGTGATATTAGCCAGTCACAAAAGGACAAATACAACATGATCCTACTTGTAAGAAGTACTTAGTTAAAAATCACAGAGCCAGAAAGTAGAATGGTTCTTGCCAGGTGCTGGTGAGAGGGGAGAATGAGAAGTTATTGTTTAATGGATACAGCTTTTGTTTTACAAGGTGAAAAATGTTACGGGGTTGGATGGTGGTGATGCCTGCACAAAATGTGAATGTATTTAATACCACTGACTGTAAATTAAAAATGATTAAAATGGTAGGAGAAAAAAGAGGGGGTTGTTAAGTGTTCAACTCAAAAGACTTTAAGGAAAAAGAACAGATAAAACAAGTGAAGTCAGAAAAAGAAAACTATAATGATAAGCATAAATTAAAGAAATAGAAAACCAAGAAGTAATAAAGAGGATACAAAAAACAAATCCAAAAGGTGATACCTTGGGGGGGAAAACTAATAAAGAAAGCAAAGCTCTCAAGACTCGCCGCAAGGCACTCATCAGTAATATTAAGAATGAAAAGGGAGACATTCTTAGGCAGACATAATAAAAACACAGGAAAATTTTTTTAATAGTTGAAATGAAAATTTTCTTTAAGAAGTAAATTATCAAATATGTATCAATAACCATTACAAAAACTGAATTCTTCATATAGAAATTTATTTTTGTCCTCAGTCTCACAAAGGCAATGGCCTAACCATTTTATAGGTGAGTTTTACCAAATAACAGATAATAGTTGTTTTCTAAAAATGGTTTCAGAGCTCATTTTTTGAAAATAGTGTATCCTTAATGTTAAAACTAAAGTAAAATGATATAGTAAAAGAATTCTAGAGGGATCTCATCTATGAACACAGGTGCAAAGATTCAAAATAAAAATACCTCATGAAATCATAGGGTTTATTCCCAAAATGTAGTAATGACCCAGTATCAGAAAATCCACTGATATACCATATGAGCAGATTAGAGGAGAAACATGTTTGATTATCTCAGTGAGTATGGAAAAGAAAAAGCCTTGGAGAATAATTAGAAGTCATTATGTCTATTTTTTTTAGCAAACTAAGAATAGAAGATTGTTTCCTTAACCTTCTAGAGAATAATTATCAAAAATCAACAGCAAAATAGCACATTTACTGTTGAACCTCTGTTCATTCCTGTCAGGGCCAGAAACAAAATAAGGTTGTCTATACTCCCCACTTCTGGGAGGTCTTAGCCTAATTGGACAAGAAGAATAAGTTAGGCATAAGACTTGAAATAAAACTTTGTTTTTCAGACAAAATAATTGCTTATATAAAAGTGCCAGCAATTCCACAGATAAGCTATTAAAATTAAAAAGCAAGTTTTTAGAAACAAGATAAACATATAAGAACAGTACCATTTCTGTTTTTGTTTACTTTTCTTTCTGTATATTATTAATGAAACTCCTGTGTATTATTAATCAAACTTAAAATATAATCATACAGAAAAAAAAAACCTCTGAGGAGAAATTTACTATAGTATGCCACCTGTGACTGTTCATTAATTAATTATTAATTAATTTTATGTTGTATTATGAAGCAACAAAAAATGAACTGAAGAAATGAAAAGATAGGCATGCCATGCTCAAGGGTACAAAAGAATTAGCATCATAAGAATGGCAATTCTCTTCAGTGCAACTCCAGTTGAAATCTCAATAAGGAATAGGATTTTAAAATAAACTTTGACAAGCTGACCCTAAAAGTACATGGAAGAGCTAAGGGCTAGGAATAGGCAAGACAATGGCATAGAAAATAACCAGGTAAGAAGAACTTAGCTACCAGATACAAAACCTATTGGAAAACCTTAAGACTTAGAAGAAAACTGAGAGACCCCTACACAGACCCACACATATTTCAAAAGCTGATGCATGATGGAGGAGGTATTATAAATCAGTACAGAAAAGATGGGCTACTCAACAAATAGTACTGAGCTTTTTGCCTAACCAGATGGAAAACTAAAAGAAAAATTTCAACCTACTTCCTATCATATACACATACATAAATTCCAGAGGGGAAGGGAATTAACAACCTAAATGAGAAAACCCAAAATTTTTTAATTTGTCAGATAATATGGAAGAATACCTCTATTATTTCACAGTGAAAGGGTATGTTAATAAGGCTAAACTTAACCATTTTTAAGTGAGCAATTCAGTAGCATCATATTTTCACAATTTTGTACTATCACCACCTCTAGTTCCAAAAATTTTCATCATCCATTAAGGATACTCCCATACCAATTAATCAGTTATCCCACATCTTCCCACCCCCCTATCCCTTAGCAACCACCAATCCTTTCTTTCTCTATGGATGTACCTGTTCTGGTTATTTCACATGAATGGAACCATACAATATGTGACATTTAGTGTCTGGCTTCTTTCATACAGCATGTTTTTGAGGTTCATCCATGTTGTAGCAGGTATCAATACATCACCCCTTTTCATGGCTGAATAATTTTCCATTGTGTGGCTCTATCACAGGTTGTTATCCATTAGTCCATTGATGGATATTTGGGTTGTTTCCACCTTTTGGCTATTGAGAATAGTGCTGCTATGAACATCTGCACACAAATATCTGTCTGAGTACCTGTTTTAAATTCCTTGGGGCATACCTAAGAATTAAATTGCTGCATTACATGGTAATTCTATGTTTAACTCTCTTGAGAAACCATCAAACTATTTTCTATAGTGGCTAAACAATTTTACATTCCCACCAGCAACGTATGAAGGATTCAATTTCCCCCTATGCTTGTTTTTGTTAGCCATGGCAATGGAAACATTACTGTGAAACATAGTTGAATCTTACAGATACAATGCTAAGAAAAGAAGCCAGATACAAAAGAGTACATACTGAAAAACTCCATTCATATAAAGTTCAAAAACAGTCAAATGTATCCATACTGATAAATGTCAGAATAGCTGTTACTTTTAGGGAACTACTGAATGGAAAGCAACATGAAGGGGAGTTGTTAAAATGCTAGTAATGTAAGATCTGAATGATGATATACTGGGATAGATGTGTGTGTGCATGTGTATAGACATAGACATAATATATATAATATATAGAGATATATATGTAGATATAGATATGGATAGTTATTGAGATAGCCACTTAAAATGTTTGCCCTTTATGTATGGAAATTATATCTCAGTATAAAAAAAATTATTAAATAAAAGCACATATAACCCTTAAAATAAAAAATGTTCAGGTTCATGGATCTTTGTCTTGTTACTCTCTTTACTCTTCTGTATGTTGAAATATTTCATTTTTCTTTTTTAAAAGGAAGAAAAGGAAAAATAGCCAGACCTATTGGGTCCAATAATTCAGCTCCTGGAAATCTACCCTAAGAAAATTTAAAATATTAAAAAATACTCATATATAAGATGTTTCTTACAATTTATGTAAATTGTAGGGAAAGACTAATATCTAAAAACTGGAAATGGCTAAACAAGTTATGGTTTGTATACAATGTAACACTGTATACTTATTTTTAAATGATATTTACAAAGAGTTTGACGTGTCACTAGAAAAACATTATAACATAATGTTAATCAGAGCTGTTACTCAATGTTAACAAAATGTTAACCAAAATTGTTAATCAATGTTAATAAAGCAGAACCCAAACTGTAATGTACAGGCTATTGTTCTTGATCTTTTGATTAAGATCAGGCATACACTGTAGTCTTAATCATATTAAGTATTTCATAGGATAATAGTGGTTGAAATTTTTAAAAACCTGTGATCCCAATTTTGTTGTGTTCACATATGTACACACATTACACACATA